GTCAGCAGAACTGAAGACTGAAGGAACCAGAGATGGACTCGCTGTAGTTCCTGCTGTGGAGCCTGAAGTTAATCTGTGGATGTGAGCTGGTAGTAACCTGATATCAGAGTAAATACTCTACTGTTGGAAGTAATCTGATTACTGTGAGGGGATACAGTTTAAAAGCCTCTGTGCTCTGCTGCATAGAACATACTGAAGGAGAAACCAAAGAAGAAGAATGTGGACTTTGTTTACCTTCATCGGTTCCGTCCATGATGGAAACGCTGTCGTCTCTGGACAGAAAAGGTGATTCCAGGAACAGCGCCCTCACCTGGACACAACACAGCTCAGGTCAGCCCTGATCTCATCCGTTGTTCTCTCAGTGGAACCAGTGAAGGCTCTAAAGGTCCAGCCTGTGAACTGGGTGCTACGCTCACTGTCCACTCCACAGCACTGACAGGACCTTTCGAGAAATGTTTGACACATTTTAAAACTTAATAAAAGAAATTCTGCGACCAACCAACCAACCAATCAATCAATTAAAGAATCAGAACACTACCAAACCAAAAACACACACCACGACGAACACAAGCTGCTAAAAACAGAAACAAGAACACGGCTTTACAGATGAAATAAAGTCCGACGGCGCCGCAGCAGCGGATCAACAGCTGCTAAAGAATCACCAATTATTTTAATTATCAATCAATACGTTGGAGTGGGTTCATCACAACGACGTCTACGTTTACACCTGAGATGATGTCATTGAAAAAATATTCAGTTCACAACAAAAAGCAGCAAATCCTCAGAGCTCAGAGGGTACCCAGAACCAGGAGCAGCTGTTCTGATGGCTGCAGCTCTGATGTGGACCTGAGCTTCTGAAACCAACACATGAACGAAGACGAGCTGAAACACGTCCAGCGTCGTGTCCCTGGCTGCTGCTGAGGACTAGCAGCCATGTTCTGCTGCTATCATCACATCTACGGAGACGTTCCCATCCAGAGCGTTATTTAATCAGAGCGGTGACTCTGCTCTAATAGAATCAGATGATTTAATGCTATATTCTAATGAAAGCCCCCTCCTGTGTAATCTGCTGGACCGAGCCTGTCTGATAATAAGAGCAAAGCTTCACATTAAATCACTTTTTGGCTCCTGCCCTAGTCCTGTTATTACTGATTACTTAAAAGCTTTAATAGACGTTTTCTTTTCTGGCTCCGACATGATGATGATGATGATGATGATGATGATGATGATGATGATGATGATGATGATGGTGATGTAATTCACTTCCACGGTGCAGCTGAAGCAGCAGTCAGCAGCAGTTATTGATCTGCTGTGTCTGATGACCTGTTCGATCAGCTCACCTTCTGTCTGCTGTTGTTCTCCGTTTGTTGTTCCTCGTTATTAAATTCATTATTTTTTCTTTTAATTTTGTCTATTTTATTGATGTTTTAATTCTATTTTTGTTGATGTTGTGACTTCACTTCCGAAACAACGTATGTGTATTTAAATTATGTCCAGGAAGAATAAATAGACCATAAGTGTTGGTGAAAAGTAGAATTCATCCATCCATCACCTCAACAGGTTCACCTGGACAGGTA